CTGTACAATCAGTAATTATACCTAACAAAACTGGGTTTGGGTTGTAAGTTCGGATACATAGAAGCCAACTTTTTAGGATCTAAATGCCATCTATAAAATATCTTATAATTCCTCACTACATTCCTAAGAGGTCTGTAAGGGGGCGTGCATAAGTGCACCAGTGTGCCTACCGTTTCTGTCTTATTGTCCCCACTTATTCATATCCATTTCCTGTCATTCATAATCACGCTTATACTTATATCTGTTATCCTATATATGCTTGACAAAATAAATAAATTAAATTAAAAAATTAAGTCAATTTATCCATGTCAATAAAATCTATCAACTTCACCAGTGGTGGGTTCCAATTTTTTTTAGAACCTATTCTGTAGATGTGGTCTGTTTTGTGGGAGTGGCTTTGCAGTCATGTGACCGGTTGGGAATGGCCAACTTGATGTCATTCACCAGGAGATGTCATGGATTGGGTAAAATGTGGTGAAGCTCACTTAACAATGCTCTTGCTTAGCAACCAAAATTTTGTCATAAGTCAAGGACTATCTCTACCTTCCTCTGGTTATAACCATATAACCAGTTTATTTTTTTAAAAAAATTATTGCACAGTTTTTTTAAAAGAAAAAACAAAAAACTTTGACAGTTTTCTTCCATACAACAATTCCATATCGGTATATACATCCATTATATGTGCATCCCTTCCCCCCCAATATGTCATTGTCTATACATGTAATTCCAGTGTTTTTATACATACAAATATGTTCATTTCTTGAGTTACAGTGATTTATTGTATGTTGTTTTCATTTATGCATATTTATTACTAATTTCTAACCCCTATATCTTCTTTGTTTAATCTTTCCTTAAGCTTTTCCTCTAACCATTTATACCATTCATTCCATACCATATAATAATCTATTTCTCCTTTATGTTTGATCTCTTTTGTGAGTCTATACAGTACATCTCTGCACACTTTAAGACTTTCCTTATCACTTCTTCCTCTGATGGAATGATATTATTCTTCCACTTTTGTGCATACATAATTCTAGCTGCCATTGTAGTATGTAAAATTAGATATTTTGTTTTTTATCATACTGGAAGTAACTATGAATTTAATTTTTCTCATCCCATATAAACGCATGCCATCCTAGTTGTAAATCATGACCTTCTAATATAAAAATCCTTTCAGTTTTTTAGCTCTAGCCAATCTTTAATCCATGTAAGTTCTTTTGCCTGGTAGTATGTCTCCCAATCTGGGAGCCCAAAGCCTCCTCTTTCTCTGCTATCCTGCAATAATTTTAGTTTAATCCGTGCTTCCCCCCCACCCATCCCCCAGCCCAATGTGTTTCATGATTAATTTATTTAAGTCTTTGAAAAAGTCTTTCCCTAAATTTATTGGTACTACTTGGAAAAGGAACAATATTCTTGGTAGAAGGTTCATTTTAATGGAGGCTATCCTTCCAATAAGGGACAATTGTAATTTTTTCCATGTTTCCAAATTCTTTTTTACCTGCTGCATTAATTTATTATAATTGTCTTCTTTGATTGAAGAACATCTAGCCGATAACCAAATTCCCAGGTATTTTACTTTTTTAGTCACTTGTATGCCCATTCTTTCTTCCAATTCTCTTTCCTGTTTTTGGTAAGATTTTTTGTTATTGCCTTTGTTTTATTTTTATTGATTTTAAGTC